CCCCCCCCCGCCCGCCTCTCCCTCAGGGAGAACATTCTGAAGACAGCCAAGGCCTTGGTGGAAGACACAAAACTCCTGGTGTCGGGGGCCGCGTCCACTCCAGACAAGCTGGCCCAAGCAGCCCAGTCCTCAGCAGCCACCATCACCCAGCTCGCCGAGGTTGTCAAGCTGGGGGCCGCCAGCCTGGGCTCTGACGACCCCGAGACCCAGGTACGGTTGCCCTGGGGGATGGGGAATTCTCAAAACCCCACAAACACTCTACACCAGGCCTCAGAAGAGGCCAAAAGCAAAATAGAAACTTTGAAGTAAACAACACATGTATGTGTCCGTGGTTTGGGGACTGGTAGGATGCCATTATCCAGGCAAGATAGTGGCACAGACTATAGTGGTGGCCATGAGGTTGGGAGACAAGCCACTTTGAGAGATTTGAGAGAACTCTGTAAAGGAGACGCAGCCAGGCTTAGTGAAAGATGGAACACAATGAGCATTTGGAAGTAAGGGAGAGAGAGGAGGCAAGAATGATGCCACGTTTCAGGCTAGATCGGTGAGTGGAGGGTGGCTTACGTACAAAGCTGGAGCTCCCTGGAGGGAGAGCTGGCTTGGATGGGGATGAAGGTGAGTTCAGTTTGGGAAATGTTGCATGAGAAGTGGCAAAGTGACATGTGGGTACAACGAGTGAATGGGCCTGAGCCTGCTCAGGTATGGGAATGTGGCCATCCAGACCGTGACTGACCACAGGAGAGGAAAAATGTGGAGTGAGGAGGGGGTGGGTTTCAAGGCAGAGCCCTGAGGAATCCAGTGTGTAAGAGCATTTAAGGAGAAAGCGATGCCTAAGGAGATTGAGAAGCAGGTGCAGCTAGGAGGAGGAAAGCCAGGGGCCTGATGTTAAGAGGAGGGAGGGTTCAGCCCTCCAGAGATGGCCGAGGAATCAAGAGAGATGCAAGTCTGAGAGCTGGCCACTGGCCCAGCTGCCATGGAGGGCAGTGGTGACCCCAACAGGGGCTGTGTGTGGGAAGTGGCAGGGTGGTCATGTGAGGGTGAAGAAACAAAGCCAGCAACTGTAGTCACCCTAATTGAGAAGTTTGGCTCTGAAGCGGGAGAGAGAGGAACTGGAGGGGTTAGGGAAGGCGCTATGCTTTTATACTCTGCTTCCAATTTGGCAGTTTCATTGAAGTTATCTGCCTGTTCCTTGGTCCCCGACCTAGACTGTCAGCTCCTCAGGGACAGTAACCTAAGCTCGCAATCAGCTCTCAGCACGTAGTGGATACCCCCACAAATGTATGTTCAGCTGTTGTTCAACTAATAGCCAACCAGACCATCAGCCCATTCTCCAGTGCAAAACTCAAAAATCCCTCAGTTCTCTATCCCAGCACCATCAGATGGGAAACGCTTCCGTAAACTATGCTCCATAAACTAGTCTACCTGGCCCCTTTGGACAAAATTGGATAGAAAGCCCCCTCCCATTCAGTGCCTGGGTCAATGACAGCTACAGTTCCGGTTAACATAAGGCCCAGCTTTGTTCCCAGGTGGCTGCGACCTTCCCTTCCTGACGTCCTCCAGTGGAGCAGAGCTCGGTGAGGGAACATTACTCCTGCTGGATTTCTCTTTGATGACATCAGAGCTCAGACTGGCGTCCCTTTGCAGTTCAAAATCTTCCCAGAAACCCCTGCCTTCAGTATTTTTACCCCTATGGAGGAAGGAAAGGCTTGAAAATGAGTCAGTGGGATTGGAACCCATACTCTCCGAGCCTTGGCTCAACTTTAGGAGAAGTGACTTGGCCTGGGGAGGATTCAGATCTTTGAACACAGGGAAATGTACTGAATTGCTTAGTCTTAACTCTCAAATAGTCTAGATAGTCTAAAGCTCCAACTTCTCATGAGACCTCTGAAAAATGCCCCCACTCACGGTCAGTCGTCCAGTGCAGGGTGGCGCAGTGTATGTGGGATGTTGGCCACTGACCTTGGCTTCTGTGCCTCAGTCTCCTCTCTGCCCCTCCCCGCTGTGATCTCAGGAATCAGTGTGAGGTCCGCACAGGTCAGCCCTTCCTCACGAGCCCCATCACAGCCCCACCTACTCTGTGGTTTCAGAGCCGAGGTTCGTGTGCCCTGCAGGTGAGAAGGCACAAGAGAAATGAAGAGGGTGTGAGATCATAGTGTCACTGTGCTTGCAGCTGTCTGGGACTCTAGTTTCTAATATATGTTTTTATGGAGAATACGTGTTTCATGGATTAGTATGTTATCCGGTTCCTCTTCACAGCAGTGCAGTGAGATAGGCAGGGCTGGTGCTGCTGATCCCATCGGTAGATGAGGAACCAGAGCCGTGGAGCATAATATAGTCTGGAGGGTAAGACCCTGCCCTTGGGATCACACTGACCAGAGTTCAAATCCCAACTCTGCCGTTCCCAGGCCCTAGGAGCATGGACACGAGCATCTTGGTTCCCACTTGAAATGGCAGCGGTGAGGGTTGAATGAGAAAATTTGTGTATCGTGCTTGGCTCAGCACCTGGAACACTGCCCTCAGTAAAGGGAAGTTATTACTATTGAAATAGGAGTTGTTATAGCAACTAAACCTAGAAGAGTTCAACGTGATGCCCAATAGCACGTAATTTCTGAGTATGGCTGGTATAATCCTTCAGATTCCAAGCCTAGCATACTGGAAGATAGTCTGTGTTCAGTTAGAAGAGTGAGATACTATGTCATGTCTAGTGTTACGTAGGTACACACCTATGTACTCGTTCATTTCACGAGCACTTACTGAGTGCATGCCAATATGCCAGGCCCTGTTCTGAGTAAAACACACACAGAAGCCCAGCACAGCCCTCCCGGAGCTTACATACAAGTCAGGGAAGAATGAATAATAAAGTAATTCCACATGCCCGTAAGTGCTATAAATAAAACAGGGCAAGTTGTTGGGGTGGGGGAGGGGGCCTACAGTGAGTGTGGTCCAGAAAGGTCCCTGAGGACATGACGGAGCTGAGACCTGAATGATGAAAAGAGCCAGGTTCCAGGCAGAGAGAACAGCAGGAGCAGAGGCCCTGAAGCAGGAATGAGTTGGGACTTCCAAGGGGGAAAAAAGACCCGTGTGCCTGTAGCATGTTGAATAAATCAATCCTAGGAACCGAAGCTGAAGACTCGGGGGGGCTGCCACGGAGGCCTCATGGGCCGGACTGTGAGGCTTACATTTTGTTCTCTGTTTTTGGTCACCAGTTCAGAGCACAGGTGACTGGTGTGGCCTCTCAGGTGTCTGCTTAAGCTGCCTTCACCCTTTCATAGGCAGCTTGTCAGCAGAGCTGCCCTCCAGAAGATGCTTAAACATGCCAAATGTCAGGCTCCCCTGGGGAGCTTTTCAAAGTCTGGATAATGGCTCTTCATCCAGGCTGCTGCATCCGAATTCCAGCAGTGGCTCCTGGGAGTCTGCAGAGCTGCAGGTTTGAGAGCTGCTGACTTACAGACCCAAACTCCCCCCGGGCTGCCCATGGGCTGTGTGCTCTCCATGAAGCCATAGTTGGCTGCTGGGGCCTGCTCACCTGGATACCGTGCTCTCTTTCAGGTGGTGTTGATCAACGCCATCAAAGACGTGGCCAAGGCCCTTTCCGATCTCATTGGTGCTACCAAGGGAGCTGCCAGCAAGCCCGCCGATGACCCCTCCATGTACCAGCTTAAGGGGGCTGCCAAGGTAGAGTGGAGCCCCAACGAGGGGTGAGCATGCAGGGGGAGTGCTGAAGAGAGAGAAGGGCACACGAGACTGTTGGGAGAATGCACACCTGATCTCTTTTCTCACTTAAAGGTGTTTTTGCTCATGGCATTAGATCTAAAACTAAAGGAGGACGGACTGAAACTCAGTGCCCTGTTTTCTCTTGGCCTTTCTTCCTATGCAGGTGATGGTGACCAATGTCACCTCCCTCCTCAAGACCGTCAAGGCAGTGGAAGACGAGGCCACCCGGGGCACACGGGCGCTTGAGGCCACAATCGAGTACATGAAGCAGGAGCTCACGGTAAGGAGCCAACAGTTACCTGCCTCCCTTGGGCACCCGCGTCCAACACCTGAGCCCACACCAGAGGCGTCTCTGAGATTGTTAGTACAAAGAGGATTTACCTGGATTTGCTCAGGATTTACCTGAGCTAGGGAGGCCCACTCACCTGCCTGAGATCCCACGTGTAACTGACCACCCCACAGTTTCACTAGGATCAATTTGTAATTGTAATTAAGGAATCAATTGAAATGTATCCCTTAGGACTATTCAGGTTTAATTCCACTAAAATTGCAGCATGAATCCAAAGCATTGCAGAAGAGTCCTGGCAAAGGGAAAAGTCAGCAGGGCTATTTGCACCCCCAGAGCTTCATTCGTGTGTACAACGTGCGGCCACACACAGTCCCTCGCGAGTCCCACTTGTGTCAGCAGTGCCTCACACGGCTGCGTGCGTGTGGATTTGGAGTCTGAGATTCGCCACTGGAACGATCTGGATGCTTTTACTTTAAGACCCAGCTCCCTTCTGTTTGCGATTTCTGATCACAGAGAAGTTGACCCTGTGTTCTTTCCTGCCCTGTCCCAGCATTGTAGAGTGAGGTGTCCTGGTGCTGCTGTGATACAGGCATTATCTACCGTTCTTTTGATCCCATGAAAATGGTGGATTGACTCATCCTAATCCCAGAAATAGAAATGCCAAAAATGAGTGGTTTCAAACTGAGATGTCTTTTTAATAGGAGGTCTGATTACAGATTCAGTGTTTTTTTGGAGGGGGCAGGGAGGGACTGGCCTTTGCTGCCAGTTGTTCTGCATCTTTAGAGGACCCTCTGTGAAGGCCACAAACCCCTGCGGGTCAGCGGTGGAATGAGGGGTTCTCTTGGGTTTAGGTGATAGAGCCTGTGTTCTCTTATCCTGTCTTCAGTGACTCCATCTTTGGTTGATGCTGTGCTTAGCTCTCATACAGAGGAGACGCTAAAGAACACAGGTGGTGTCCTTAAGCACAGCTCCCTGGCACCCGCCTGCCCACATGGGCTGGGGGTGTCCTTACCGTCTGGACACACGCTCTGACAGGTGTGGGTGGGCCTAATGCAAGAGGTTTGAAATTTGGAGCTTTCCTTGGAAATTACAGACACGTGGACTATCTGAGTATACCCATGTGATTGAGAATTGACCCAGACTGTGTGTTTCCGTGGACATAGGAGACTCCAAAGGAGCATGTGCCATAAGGGCCCTGTCAGTGTGGAGGGCTCTGTACACGTGGCCTTCTTTCCGCTGCAGCATTCAAGGGTAGGTCTGGGATTCGGGGTCCTGGGCTACTTGGTTGCAGCTGCCCATTTTTAGGGGGATAGTGATGTTTGACACGGGTTGGCACATGGCAGGGATGCTGGCTGGGTCCTCCTTTCTGCCTCAGGAAAGACTTCCTGCTGAAACGTGGCTACCTAGGGCTGAACACAGAGCAGTCCCCACTGTCTTGGGGGTCCTTGTGTGCAGGCACAGCTGCACGTTCAGTGCACAGCCAAGGCACCAGTCACTCATGTTAGAGAGACAAGACAGATGGGCTTAAAGCATTAGTGGCTGGCTTGACTGACAGGTGGAACTGTGAAGTGGGATATTCACTAACCACTAACTGGAGGTTAATTGACTTCAGGGTCTCTAAAGTGTGTTTGTGTGTGTGTGTGTGTGTGTGTGTGTGTGTGTGAAAGAGAGAGAGAGATGGTGTTGTTGTTAAATAATTCACAGTGTCACTGGCACACTCCACATGAACGCCTCCACAAAATTATACAGTTATATTTGTAAGAAAGGCTAAGAATAGAAGAAACTGAATGCTTCATTTTCCCAGCCCCCACACCTCTTTAAAGAGAGAGACGTGAGCCCAGAGCCATGCATCCAGGTCAGTCCTGTTTGGGACCAGCATCAGGACTGCAGAGTTTCTAGGAATTGATAAAGCTCCAGCAGGGATGGGGAAAGAGAACGGGAAGCCCCAGAACCGTCTTCCCTGGGGTGGATGGTTTCAAATACCTAGTATCCATTTCTGCAGACCCATGGGGAGACACTGTAGGTATGTCTCTCTCACCACATTGTTCTAGTGAATGCCTAGGATAGGTGTGCAAGGCTTAACCATTGCTAGAAATCTTGAAAGCAAGAATGGTATTACTGTACTTAAATTAAATTTCTCATTTCCTACCATTTGACGCTTTCTTCCTGTTGCTGGCTCTGTTTTCAGACACTGAGCTTGCAGCCTGGTCGGAAAAGAATACATTATTTTTGTGCTTCCCTTTCTGATTTTTTTTTCACCTCTTCTCTTTCTAACTTCCAGGTGTTCCAGTCAAGAGAGGTACCTGAAAAGACATCATCACCTGAAGAATCAATAAGGATGACGAAAGGCATCACCATGGCAACAGCCAAAGCCGTAGCAGCTGGGAACTCATGTCGACAGGAGGACGTGATCGCCACCGCCAATCTGAGCCGGAAAGCTGTGTCCGATATGTTGATGGCTTGCAAGGTAAAGGCCTTGGTGTTGTTTGTTTTTTGTTGTTGTTGTTGTTGTTTTGGTGGTTTTTTTTTAAGATTTTTTATTGGGGAACTGAGGGGATGGGAACAGTGCTGGGGAATTGGGGGAAGGGGAACAGACAAGTTGCTGTCCTTTTGTTCTTCAGTCTAGTTGTGGAGGACGT